ATCGTGGGGGCGGGTCTGGGCTAGTCCTGGGGAAGGGACAGAGTGGGACAGAGCGTGAAGGACAGAGTGAGGTAAGCTGGGGGTGACAAATGACACATGGGAACCCCTTCACCAGGTGAGGGCCCCGCCTACCAGGTGAGAGCCCCGCCCCGGCTGTGAGTGCTCCCAGCTGTGCCTTCGCCTGGGAACCGTCTTGGGCCAACAGGACCCGCCTTCCGGAAAGAAGGGGGCTGGAGGCCAACCCCCTTGCCTGAAGGGGGCCTCAGGCTTCAGAGCTCCCGACTCCCCCAGGCCCCCACCCTTACACCCCCGGCAAGGCAGGTGAGCAGAGGCCCTGTCTCGGGCTGTTTCGAGGGGGCCCCGGCTACCTGCAGGACGTGCATGCCCTTCAGTGAGACCACAGCGAGCTCCTGCAGCCCGTCCCCGGTCAGGTCCGTGTGGGCCATGGCCAGCAGCGGGCTGGGGAAGCTCCGTTGCCACAGCAGGCGGAATCCGCACTCGGCCTCAGGCGACCCGGGCTCAGGGCCACTGTACTTGTAACAGAGCAGCTCCTGCAGGGCGGGACAGGGTCAGGCGGGTGAGCCTGGCGTGGAGCGGGGACGGGGTGGCGGCCCCTCCCTCAGGTCCCACCTGTCCGTAGGTGGCCACCAGGACTTCTGGCTGCCCGTCCAGATCGATATCGGTGACCAGACCACAGAGGACACTGTCAAACTGGTCGCTTCCAGGCAGGAGGAGCTGGTCCTCGAGGCCTCGGCTCAGCAGGTCCCTGCGGGTCCCCAGCGCGGTGGGGAGACTGAGGTCAGACCGCAGCCTCAGCACCAGGCCCGGGCAGGGCGCCCTCCTTCACGGGCCTGGACACACTGTCCCCCTAAAGCCTGCGCCCCTCATCTCCAAGTTGGACGTCTCCATTTCCACCAAGGGGACCTCCAGTCCTTCACCCCGAGTGTCAGCCTGCTGCTCCCCAGCAGGCTCTCCCTCTGCATGCCCACGCTTCTCCGGAGGTGGGAGCAGCTCACTCTCAAATGGAGGCCCATACGGTTCCCTTGGGGATCTAGGTGCCCTGACCCCATTCGGACACCCGCACTGTCCCCATGGAGCCTGCAGAGCTCGGTCCCCGCTGGGACGTCCTCACTGCCCACCAGGTAAGCCCCACCGGCCTTGTGCCGGCTCCCGAGAGCCGACCGGGAAGTTTTCAGAAGCGTTACAAACCAGTTGACATCACGTCACGGTGGGAATATTTACACCACGGAAATTGGCGAATGCTCCAAATCGGGGTTGTCTCATGTGCGGGGGTGCTTGTTACATTATCCCGGTGCCAGCACGATGTGTCCCCCTTCTCGAGGGGAGGGGACGTCTTGGCTCCCATCCCAAGGCCGCCACACACCCCTACAGGTTCTGGGCTTAACACTCACACCCTCTTCCGGGGACACGAACACCTGTACCTGCCTGGCCCTGAGCAACCTCACCCAAGGGACGTTCTGACCAGGGACAAGGTCAGACCACAGTGTGAAGGCGCCGGGTCAGGCCACGCCCACGGGCCCCGGGCCCCTCACCGATACACCACTGCTGGCTCCAGCATGCTGGCCACGAGCACGCTGTACTCTTCCCGTGGTGGCCTGTCCTTGGTCTCTGGAGAAGACACACGAATGTGGAAGCAGGTGTGAGGGGACAGGTGCCAGGCTCCCTCTCGCACCTCCCCGCCCTCAGCCAGAGGAACGCAGGTCAGGTCTCGGGGCAGAGGGAGGCCTAGAGGTCAGACCGCGAGGGAATGACCGGGGTCGGACACCGTGGACGACAGTTTAAAAGGTCTGAGGTTAGACCACTCAGCAGAAGTGGCGACAGACGCGACAGCGGGAGTCCCAGGTGTGACCACAGCGAGAGGACTCGGAGTCCAGACCAGCGTGACGGACAGAAGACAGACTGCCGAGGTCGGGCCGAGGGAGATGCCGGTGGAGGACAGGCCACAGTAAGAGGGACAGAGCGACAAAGGCGGGGAAAGGCGAGGCCCTGAGTGGTGGAACAGCCCGAGTCCTCGAGAAGAGCCTGGGTTTAGAGCACGGTGAGAGTGACGAGGCCAGAGAGGGAGAGGAGAGGAAGGCACAGAGCGAGGGTGGAGGTGAGGCCACCACGGGAAGGCGGAAGGCGGACGGGTCTGGGATGAGAGCCGGGGCAGGGAGCTGGGAGGGAAATTTGAGGGTGTGGAGGGGAGGGACGGGCCGCGCTGCAGCTCCAGAGCTGGACTGGGGCACGCGGTTCGATGGAGGGAGGACGGGGAGCCGGACACTTCGGGAGAGGGGTACAAAAGTGGGGGGCGGGGCAAGCCTGCAGAGTTGCCCCCCACGTCCAGAGCTCACCTGCAGGGGCCGAGAGGCTGAACACGATCACTCGGGAGATGGGGCCTTCCTGCAGGACTGTCCACGTCTGCAAAACCTCTGCATGGAAGTGGGGACTCAGGGCTCTGTCCCCAGCCCTTGCCAAAGTCCCGCTCCCTGCCCTGGCCCTCACCTCGACTCCGCAGGTCTACGTGGGCGACACGGACATAACCACTCTGACAGCCAAGAGCCGAGAGTCGCCGGGACGTGCCCGGGAGGTTGTGGACATCGAGCCAGAGGACGCTGGTGGGTGGCCGGGCGGACAGAGGGGCCGGAGGGCCGTCACTGGGTCCCGGCCCCACACCTCCGCCTCCCCAGGAGCATGTACCCCACCCCCGTCGCTGCCCGATTTCTCTGAGGCCACCCGCCCCGGTCCCGGCTGGCCACTTCCAGAGGCTCCTACCTACTGGTCAGGTTCGTGAGCTCTGGGAAGAAGTTCTCCACGGGCTGTTCCTCAAACTGGTGCAGCCCCTCGTTCTGGGGGAACCAAGGCCCACCCCTTGCTTGGCATCTGCACAACTCACGGCGACCCCAGCAGGGCCTTGCCCACCCTGCCTCCCCTGCCTCACCTCCTTGTAGAGGTGAATGGCCGGGTCATTCCCACTTAGGAGAAACACGGTCTCCAGCTGATCTGCGACCTGGACCCTGAGAGCAGAGAAATCCAGGACCCCGGTGTGGCAGGACCTGAGTGTGGCACGGGCCACGCAGAACACCCTCTTGCCTGCAGGAACCCCAACATTCTGGGATCCAGCCAAAGGGTCCAGGGCTAAAATCTCAGGATGCAGAATAGTAGGTAGGAAATTAGTAGGCTAGAACCTTCTGTCTCTAGAGCCCTCATCTGCTAGAATCTTCATTCCAGATGTGGATTCGGGAACAGAACACTGCATTCTAGAATGAGGAGGGTGAGAACACTGGAACCCCCGTGTTCCAGAAATTCTGCTCTCGGTCTCCTTCGAACACCAGCACGTTTAGAAATCGCCACCCAAAACATCCAGACACAGAGTGGTAGAAAACCCAAATCCTAGAATCCAGGACATCAGTTTCTAGAACTCTCACCTGCTAGACCAGAGGTTGGCGGACTATGACCCACAGGTCAAGTCCAACTCACCATCTGTTTTTATAAATAAAGTTTTATTGGAACACAGCCATGCCCATTCATTTACATAGTGTCCATGGCTGCTTCCTTGCTGCAATGGCCGACTTGAGCAGCTGTGATGGACTGTCTGGCCCTCACAAGCTTGATGTGTACAGTCTGGACCTTCACAGTAAAAGTTTGCCAACGCCTGTGCTACATCATTGGTGTTCTGGACTGGAATCCAGAACTCTAGAATCATATTCTTCTACTCTGGAGCTCTAGATCCGCAGTATCCTAGACGGTCTGTATTCCAGCTCCTCGAAACGTGAGCACGTTAGGACTTTACCATGACAAAATCTCGGAATCATCAACCTGCAGAACTTTCAAACCTTGGAATCTCAGAACTCACAACTCTAGAGAACTTAGCATTTCTGGCTCTCGAGACTGAATCTGGAACGCAAGAACGTGAGCATTCTAGCTGGCTAGGATACAGGTGTTCATTTAACCCTCAGATTATCCCGCTTGGGGATGACGAAATGGTAGCTCATCAGCCAGGTCTGGTCCGTGGCTACCTTAAACGCACGATGCTCTGAAGAAATGAAATGGGAATCTGATTGTCCACGGGCAGGTCTGCGGTCTCATTTGCTAGGCACCCCCCGCCCCGCACCCTGTAGGTGCACGATGCCCTTTCTGTGTCTCGCTTACTCTGCATGGCATAGCTGGAAAGGCGTGAACTGCAGTTCCAGGTTCAGGCAGCTCTCTGTAAAGGTGAGCACAGGCAGATGGGCACCGGGGACCCCACAGGCCCCCCTCCCCTCCTCCCCATCCCCCTCCTGCCTTCAGGCCACACTCACGGGCAATGGAGTCAAGGTTGTATTCAGAGCCAGGCTCGTAGTCACAGTAAATGTTAAGGAAGGGGCTGCCTTTGTCCCCTGAATCCTGCGGGAGGAAGCTGGCCTCAGGGGAGGGCAGGGGCGGTAGGGGGGATTTGGGTCAGACTCAGGGATCCACCGTGTGTGAGGAGGGGGGAATGGGTCGGCGAAGGCAGCTTTGGGTACCTTGATAAACGTGATCCCCACAACCAGGCCCCGCTTTGGGGGCGACTTGTTGAAGGTGTCGATGGAGACAATCTCAGCATCCACTGGGAGGGAATAGTTCCAAGTTTGAGTGTCAGGCAGACTTGAGACCACTATACCCCCAATCAGGGTGACTCCTGACCTCTAGGACTCGGGAACCTCCAACCACCGCAATGATCATGACCGCTGGATTCTAACGAGTCACGATCACCACCACCACCACCACCACCACCACGACAGAAGAGATTCTGAACGCTAACCACCACTTCTAGGACCCTATTATCCCTGCCCCCTGCCCCCAATGCTTCCTGACTATCAGCTCGGACCCCCTTCAATCACCCTGATCCCCTTCTCCCATCATGGTGATGCGGCTCAGACAGAGCCTCAGAAGCCTTCTCAACACCACCTCGCCGCCCCCGCCCCATAGCGCCACGCACCGGGAATGTAATTGAACTGCAGCTCCTTAGCTACAGGCCGGATTTTCTGTCGGAGGTCTTGGTAGCGGAAGCCCAGCACCTTGCCTTTAAGGGTGGCGGCCAGAAGCTCCCCGCGACCGCCCGCGCCTCCCGCCAGCCCGTACACATTGCTCTGGGACGAGAAGCGCGTGAAGCTGTCCTCGCGCAGCGGGCAAGGCTCCGCTGCCACGGCCGCCTCCCCCATCACGCACCTCACCCACTCACTCCTGCAGCCCGCCTACCCTACTCCCTGCTCCCGAAGCGACCTGGACCTTCGGGGGCCGGCCCGCCGCGCAGACTGATGACGTAACGAAGCTGCCGGCTCTGCCCTTTTCCAAGATGGCCGCCGAGTGGGCGTGGCTTCCAGCGAGACCACCCCAGCGCGCCTGTGCTGTGTGGAGAAGAGAATGACGACCACGCCGTAAAGCTTAATCCAGCTCTTGTGTGCCAGGGACTGTTCCAAGCGCTTTCCATCTATCAGCCTATTTAAAACTCACAAGCAAGGCGAGGCAGTTACTATGTTTTATGGGTGAAGGAACTGAGGCACAGCTAAAGTAACTCGTCTGAGATCCCATCACCTTTAAAATGGTGAAATGCATTCTTTTTACCCCAAAGGAAAAAGATCTAGCGATCTGTCCCGGTAGACAACCTCCTTCTCTGTTGAACGGCAAGTCTGTGCCAGTCACGTCGGCCCTGATTATCCCATTGAATCCTCACGACCACCTGCTATTGTTACTCCATATTCACTTATTCGGCATTTATTGGGCACGCTTTACAAGTTTACCTCGATAACCTTCGCAACAATCCTGCAAAGAGGTTTCTTTATTATAAAGTTTATAGAGGATGAAATTGTGGCTCAGAGAGTGAGTCCCAACCAATAAGCTAGAAAGTGGACAGGATGTTAACCAGGAGTTTCTGACTCCGCCGTCTTCAGAGGTTCCTCTATGTGTGTTGTCCCTAGAGAGGCATCAGAGGCTCGGGGACTCTGTACACTTGTTATGTTCTTTCCAGAAGATAAGAGCTCGCAGAGGGCAGGGTCTGGCTGCTGCTTAGTGCTGTATCCCCAGGGCCTAGACTGGGACACGGCACACAGTAGGTGCTTCGGCAGTACTCGCTGAGTGACTAGAACGTGCAGTCCAGTTCTGCCACTTCTGAACGCTTTCTTCAGGTGTCTGCCTCACGTGGTAACTTCTAAACTACGTTCGCTTAATATTTGTTGAGCGAATGAAGAAATGAAGGCAATTACAGGTTATAAAAGAGAATTGTCCTGTTCAGTGGCACATTCAAATTGCCTGCAGAACTTTCAGAAAACAACAAAATGAAACCCAAAAGGGTAAGGAACATCAATCAAACCACAATTCATCAGGGTGTGACCCAAGCTTGAGTACTTTTAATGATTTCAAGCAAAGCCAGGGTTGAGAATTACTATTTTGTTCATGGATGACAGAAGCAGATCCTGAAACTATTTATTCTTCAGACTGTACCCGTCGTAGACATCGGTAATCAATCTCAGGTCTCAGGAGTCTTGAGTTCGAGGTAGCCATTATGCATGGATGGAGCTGTGGGAGGAACAGAGATGGACAGACCACTCGTCTTGACTTGGTGAACCTGAACTTCCGCTGAACTTTCGGGGTCTAGGCTGGAGCACCTCTCCAGCAGCCGCCCCTGGTTTCCCGGGCAGCTCCTCCTTTGCATTATCCCTGCTCAGTTCGCTTCCTGATGTCATCCCATGATACTGTGCCATTGTGTCTGCCTCTGGGCAATGAGCCTCCTCCAGCTGTCCCCCCAGAGAGGGGGCCCTGATGGGAGATTCGGTGGGCCACCTCCACCCCTTCTTGCTCCACTGTGCACTGTCGGCTCGGAGGGGTGGCACTGCCACCCATCGTCCTGGCTGAGGGAACCAAGGCCCACAGAACGTGAGATGAGTGAGGATGGGTGTTCCAGATCTCCAAACCCACTGTCCCAGGGCCTCCGCCCCAGGCAAGTCTGAGTAAAGCTGTCCCTTCTGTCCCCACAGTGCGTCCAGAGCCCAAGGCGGGGGTGGCGGGGTTGGGGAGAACCCCACCCCTGAAGGAAAAACCGGGTAGCAGAGATGAGGAGGAAGGAAGACTCATGCAAAAAAAAATTTTTTTTTTTTTTTTTAATTTCTTGGGCCAGCTGCAGCTTCCCACCGATGCCACCTCAAAGCACTAGGGGGGAGCAGATGGGGGGTGGGTGCGGGACGACCCTCTGAGCTCCAGGGCCAGGGTGTGGGGGTTGGGGCCCACCCCTGGGGGGGCGAGGGCAAATCTCAGCTACAGGTGCTCAGAGCTCAGCTGGGGGACAGAGTGGGGAGACAAAAAGCAGCCTCACGCCTCAGCCGGTCGGGAGAGGGGGACCAGATGTGGACCCTGACCCCTGGCAGCACCCATAGCAAATAGGTCTGTGTCACAGAGTCTGTGTTCTGGGGTGAAGAGCATCTTCAGGGCTTAAATAAATGGGCAAGGGGCGAGGGGTGCAGCAGGACAGGTGACTGTCCGGCCAGCAGGCCCCGCCTCGGGGCCCGGACGTGGTGCTGAGCCTGCTCTGCGGCCTGCGTGACTCCTGGTTGGGAGGGAGGGATGTCCGCAGCCGAGGTCTCAGCCGCCTCTCTCTGGGCTCACGCTGGGGTCTTCGTTGGAGGGGCCGCCGGGGAGAGGAGGGGGCGGCAGTCGGGCTCCAGGGGCCGGGTGCGGCCTAGCGCAGGTCCTCCTCGTCCCCCTGGATCGTCTTCTTGATGCGGAGCAGCATGGTGGTCAGCCACTGGTCTAGCCGGGAGATGGAGTCGTACTCCTTCACCTGTGGTGCAGCCGGCAATGGTGATTACGGTGACAGGTGGCCAGTCCCACGCCGGGCCCTGGCTGCCTCCCTGTCCCCAGCCCTGGAGCCCAAGGTCTCTGGGCCCCAGATTCTCAGGACGTGTCCCTGCCAGCCTGGCCCCCAGCCTGGCCCCTGAGGAGGGCCAGGGAGGCGGTGGGGGCTCCAGCCAGAGCGGCTGTTTCGGGTCTTTTCCAGCCTGGGAAGAAGGCTTCCTTTGGGGGGAAAAATAGATTTTGTAGTTTAAAAAAAAAGGGTCCAGGTTCCTTGTTTTATGTATGGGAAACAGGCCTGAGAATATGACAAAAGCCTGTCCCCAGGGCCACGGGGAGAGGGAGGCCAGAGAGAACCCAGGCCCCGCACGCGTCTCCGGGGCTCCATGGCTGTCCGCCCGCAGTCAGGCAGGTAAATCCCAAGGGCCACGTGCTTGACAGATGGTCTCGTGGGCGGATCGGGACCTGCGCCGGGCATGACTGAGCTCCAGAGTGCTCAGAGCAGAGCCATGTGCGGTGGCCGTGCCAGGCAGTGTTACTGACGGGCGCCGCCTCCCGTCCCCTCGGATCCACTTCCCTCCTGCTCGCGGGAAGGCAGACGGGTGACACAGCACGCTGCCCTCCCGCTCTGCTCCTCCTCCGGGTCACCTGAAGAGCCCGACTGAGGTGGCCCTCAGGTGCTCAACAAGGGGGGCTCCGAGTGGCGCAGCCCTTGGCTTCAGGAGCAGACAGACGTGGGTGTGAACCCAGCTCTCCCCTGAAAGGTCAGGGACAAATGTCCACCATTCTCGGCCGCAGCACCACGTCTAAAATGGAGGCCCTCCCTGCACCTCCAGGAGTTCCTTGTGAGGATTCTGGGGTGACCGGAGAGAGGAATTCACAGCCGGGGCCGAAGTTAGAGATAAGAAGGGCAGCACATCTGCCGGCCACTCACCGCCTCGGTGTAGCTATCCACGTTCTGCTCCTCGTGGGCTTCTAGCAACTTCTGTAAGAAAATGGCAGGCAGGCGTCAGAGGCCCCGGCAGACCTGGGGCCTGGCCTGGATTAGATCTATATACACTCTCTCTGGGTGGGTGAAAGATGGGGGGGGACAGGGGGTGCGGAGTCCCATGCTGGATGAAGGAAAGGGCCTTCTTCCAATCCTGCCAGTGTCGGCAGCGGCTCGCGAGCTCATGGATATGGGGTGTAGGTGTGTGTGTGTGTCCGTGTGTGTCCCTGCTCAGCCCTTACCAGCTGCTCCACTACTGCCTGTGTGTGTCTAGTTTCATCTAGAAAATGGAGACCCAAATGACAGGAAAGAAAATGAAATAAAAACAGAAAGATCCCTGAAACCACTACACACACGTCTTGGCGATCGCAGTAACCAGAGCCAAGCCCCGAGCTCCGCCCCCCGTCCCAGCCACACGCCTCCCGCCGGCCTGGAGAGGGAGGGGGACGGCCCCGGAACTCACTTTCATCAGCTTGTACTCCCGGGAGTCCG